TTTTTTTTTTTTTTTTGCTATAGCTTGTTTCAGTTATATGACACTAATTTCTAAATTAATCTACTCTAAAAAGAATGATACACTTTTATATTTGGAAATAATTGATTTTACCCTTTACAAAAAGCTTTTATTGCCACATTAATGTAAAATGTTATAATGTTTAAGGGTACAAGTTTCAAAAAAATTGTAGCTAAACATACCCTATGGTATATTTAAAATTACAATTTCAAATGGTTTTATTTCTTTCTTAAATTGGAACAGAATAAGCACTAATTATTAAGCAACACATAAATGTAATATTTTAATGTTATAGGCGCGCGAATAAATATGAATAAGGACTATTTGTAGCAAACAGGTTTCGTGGTGTAGTTGGTTATCACGTCAGTCTAACACACTGAAGGTCTCCGGTTCGAGTCCGGGCGAAGCCATATTGTTTTTTATTTCTGCTTTCTATTTTTTGGCAGAAATTGGAGAAGTTGATATTGAATTCCCATGATTACGATTGATGGAGGTAGACAAGACCAACAAGAAAATTGTGGCAATAATAAAATGCTAATTATACCCCCCAACAGAGTAAACTTTGAACGTCAAGGGCAGATGTAGAAGGTCACTTAACCAAATAATTTTTGACTCATATTTTGTATATATGTTAAGAATTCGACTAAACAAGTATAAATAATAGATTACAAACTCATTAAATTAAATAAATTCTAGCAGAATTTCGAGCTTGAACCCATAATATCTTGTTTCTGGTCTTATTTTATTGTAATAGCCATGGGTGGAAATTACAGTAATACATTTCAAAATGTATTACTACAACTTCAAAGTTTCAAAATGCATTTCAACAAAATGCAAATATTAGAATTTTAGGAGGAAATAATGATCGATGAGGATAAAAAAAGGCAATAATTCGCAGAAAATGGCAAATTTCTATATGCACTACCCAATGAATCTAACACAACAGTTAACTCCTTTCATAATATATATATCCTAACTTGTATTAGGTGAGTGTAATCTCGGTCAATGAGTGCTAAACTCATAACAACAACAACAACAACAACAACAACGACAACAAACCAATGCAAAGTGGGGTCTGAGGAGGATAGAGTGTACGCAAATCTTCCCTACCTTAAAAGAATAGAAAAGTTATTTTCGATAGATCCTCGGCTCAAGGAAAGATGAAAAAGAAGCAATACCAGCAAGCAGTAACAACACTACAATAGCAAAAGAAACAACTCTGATTATGGAAAAGTTGTTGGAATATAAGATGGCACTCTACATAATATCACAATGCACAAAAAGAAGATGAGATAGAGAGACATAAACTGCTGTATCGGAGTAACTTAAAAGATAACATAAAGGTGGGTATGTAATTGTTGGGAATAAACCCCGAAAAAATAATATTCACGGTATTAGTGATAAACGCGGACCACTAAGTTATGGTTAAATCAGCAAAAATATAAATGCAGCAAAAATGACACCAAGATTTAACGTGGAAACCCTTCTGAATAAGGAAAAAACCACGGCCAAGAAGTGCGACTGATATCACTATAGCAAGGAATTTTACACTATGTAGTAACGAGTACAAATACTCCTAAGACCACTACACCCTCAAAAGAAAAAATACTCTTTTGTTTTTTCCACCTCACGATAATATCGCTCGCACTCTATTTTTCTTCACATACTATTTTCTTATAGTCTATGGAATACCTTGCTCTCTCTCTCACTCAGATGTATTGTCTGAGGTTTTTGGTGTGAAAGAAATGAGAGCCGAAGCTCTCCTTTTATAGGCAGAACTTCACTGCCTCACGCCTACTACATTTTACATTTTACATTTTTCTCTCATACAGATTCGCTATGCCTACCAATCTTGACATTTTTTCTTCTGCAACCTACCATATTTGATAGTGCAAAAGAAAAGATGGTGGTTGCCAATCAAAGGAAGAAAATTATCTTCCTTGATTTATGAATGGACCCCACAAATCTTTCCCTCCAGTCTCATTCACCTGAAGGAGGTAACACCGAAGATTCTAGTTTGAGCGCATGCCAACAAGTTCTTTTCAAAGCTCGAACTTGTCTCTTGGTACCACCTTGGTTAACATCTCAGCAGGATTTTCACTTGTGTGAATCTTTTTGACCTAAAGTGATTCGTTCTCCACTTGCTCACGAATCCAATGATATCTGATGTCGATGTGTTTTGTTCTCGTATGGTACATGGAGTTTTTGCTCAGGTCTATTGCACTATGATTGTCGCAATAGACAACATAATCCATCTGTCGCAATCCAAGTTCTTGAAGAAATCTCTTGAGCCATATCATCTCCTTGCCAACTTCAGTAGCCGCAATATACTCCGCTTCAGTTGTAGATAGTGCGACACACTTATGCAACTTCGACTGCCATGATATAGCTCCCCCTAAAAAAGTAAACAAACATCCAGTAGTGATTTTCTGTTATCAAGGTCACCTGCCATATCAGAATCTGTATAGCCCTTCAGAATTGGATTTGATCCTCCAAAACATAACTATTCATGTGAGCTTCCTCTTAGATACCTGAGTATCCACTTTACAGCTTCCCAATGCTCTTTTCCTGGGTTTTCGAGAAATCTGCTAACAACACCGACTGCATGAGCAATATCTGGTCGAGTACATACCATTGCATACATCAAACTTTCGACAGTAGAGGAATAAGGAATCTTGGGCATTCTCTCTTTTTCCTCTGTTGTTGTAGGACACATCTTCTTGCTCAACTTCAGATGACCGGGAAGGGGTGTGCGAACAAACTTAGCACTTTTCATATTGAAGCGCTCCAGTATATGTTCTATGTACTTCTCCTGTGACAAGTAAAGCTTTCTTTCTTTTCTCGAACGAGTAATTCTCATGCCCAAAATCTGCTTAGCATGACCTAAGTCTTTCATTGCAAAAGACTTATTCAACTGTTTCTTCAACTCATCAATCTTGGAAGCATTCTTGCCCACAATCAACATATCATCCACATATAGCAAGAGGATGATAAAGGCATCATCAGAAAATCTTTGTACAAACACACAGTGATCTGAAGAAGTCTTCTTATAGCCTTGCTCCCCCATAACATACTCAAACTTCTTGTGCCACTGTTTGGGAGCTTGCTTCAATCCATATAGACTCTTCTTAAGTTTGCATACAAGATTTTCTTTACCTTTTGCCTTGAAGCCCTCAGGTTGTTCCATATAAATCTCCTCTTCTAAGTTATCGTGAAGAAAAGCAGTCTTCACATCCATCTGCTCAATCTCCAAATCAAGACTGGCAGTCAAACCAAGAACTGTCCGAATGGAGAAAATTTTCACGGCAGAGAAAATATTTCCTCAAAGTCAACACCTTTTCTTTGACCAAATCCCTTGACAACCAATCTAGCTTTGTATCTGGGCTTCAAACTATGTTCTTCAGCTTTAACTTTGAACACCCACTTATTCTTCAAAGCTCTCATGCCCTTAGGAAATTTCACCAACTCATAAGTATGGTTCTCATGCAAAGATTTGATCTCATCTTGCATGGATTCAATCTATTGATCCTTGTGCTCATCTTCTATGGCCTTTGTATAACATTCAGGTTCTCCCCCATCAGTGAGTAATACATACTCATTGGGCGAATAATGGGAGGAAGGGGTACGAGGTCTAGAGGATGTCCTGACTGGAATATCTAACTCGTCCACAGCTTCGTGAGTAGGAGCATTTACCTCATCAGCATTAGCATTGTTATCACCATCACCATCAATATGTTGTTTGGAACATCACTTTGCAAAGCAACCGCAGGGGATAGATTAATAACATGTGCGGCGGTCAACAAAGCCTCACCCCGAGTGGAATTCGACAACTTTGCTTCAGAAAGCAAACATCTGACTCTTTCCATCAAGGTCGTATTCATCCTTTCTATTAAACCATTAAGTTGAGGAGTCTTCTGGTGTCTGATAACCTATTGCTTATAATATTCGTCAAACGGTCCACAATATTCCCCACCGTTATCAGTATGAATACACTTCAGTTTCTTTCCAATTTATCTTTCAACTGAAGCCTGAAACTGCTTAAAGACACCCAACACTT